CATTTCCATTCCCAGGGGCCAGACCTTGTGGTGCAGAGCCTGGCAGCTGGAGTCTCCACAGGAGGGCTCGATAGGGAGAAATGGGTTTTGTAACATAATCATTGCACTGAATTATCCTCTTCAAACGCCATCTGAAGCAGTTGGGGGGAGAGAGGAGGGAGGCCTTGAAGAAGGAAGAGTTTGGGGCCCCTTGCTTCCCTTTGATTCCATTGACTTATTTAGATTTAGATTTATGCCAGTGCAGTTGACTAATTAAAATAATTTTAGTTGAGTCATCACCTGACAGTCAATTGGCTGATCACGTGATTAAATTTAAACTAAATATGCATATTATCGAAACCTGAACACAGAACCCCCTTTTTCCCCTCCGAGATACTGAAGTGCAATATAATTTGGAATTAATAATTCAGAATTTAATAAACCAACTTAAGATATTTTCCTGTTTTCCTTCCCAATTACAGAAACACACCAGTGTTAGAGCCTCAAAAAATACAAACACGTATGCGTTTAACTCACAGTCGCATCAAATAAAGACGCACCCCGCACTTTAAGATCTTGGTTAATTAAAACAAATTAAAGTTTGCAGCCCTTATTTGTGCACAACATCCCTAAACAACACGGCAGGTGTTTTAATCTCCCTTTGCAAAATGGAGGGGCCGTCCTGTTAGCTGCCAGCCTTGATGCCTTCTGGAAAAGGCACCCGGCCTGCTGCAGCCTGAAACTGGCTGTGTAGTAGAGAGCGGTCGAAAAGGACCTGGCTGTGGGAAGCCTTGAAATGCTCCATCCCACCTGGGCGCCAGCCCATAATAACAACTCTGGGGGGAGAGACTAAGGTGATACCAGCGGTTTCCAGGAACCCTATTCTCTGTGAGATTTGGGGGGCGAGCAGTGAGTTTGTATGAGCCCTGGGTGAGAGCCAGGAGGCAGAGAGATGTTGAGCACTATATGTTAGAAGAGTAAATCTCTCTCTCTCTCTCTCTCTCTCTCTCTCTCTCTCTCTCTCTTTCGCTTTCTCTCTTTGTAAGTTGTATTAATGCAACATTTGTTGAAGTTTTCTGTTGTTGTTGCTTTAGTTTTCTGTGCCCTACTTAGAGATTGCTTCACATTAAGTGGGGTAGAAATGATCTAACCAAGCAAACAACCAGCTCTACTGTTATTTCCATTTCAGAGAAGGAAAAGTCAAGGCTAAGAAAGCTGCCTCTCTCTAAGGGAGCATGAATTTCATCATGGTAACAAACAAGTAGGGTTGACTCCAGGTTCGGGAGCCTTGTGCTGCCAGGAAAAGGTTAAAAAGCCACAGGAGAGGGTATTTTTTACTGGGAAGGGGCAGGAAGGAGGCTACATTCTTCTGCCAACTTAAACCCAACACTTGGGTGGCCCTCACCTATCAGCCAAAAAAGTGAACAAATAAGACACAAACTTGTGTATGCTAATTTACATACATCAAATGCTGGTTTTGAAATAATAACCCTGTGTTGTATGCCTACACCTAGTAAACACACTGAAATTAACAGACCAGAATTAGTCGTGTCCATTATTTTTATGGGTCTACTCTGAGGAGGACTAATGTTGGACATGATTTTATGATAATAAATAGCAACGCAGCGCATCTCATTATATGTGACTTGTGTGCCTCTTTTAAGCCTCCTGTGCAGGGGGTTTGCTGAGGAGTGACTTCAAGACCCACCCCAAATTCTCCCTTCTTCTTGGGGTTCTTTATCTTTAACCAGAACATGGACTGGCAACCTTCATATAAAGAATGCCCTCTGTAAAGTGAAGGCACATGGCCACCCTAAACAACACCACAAACGGATAAATGTGTTGGTTTTACAGTCTTAAGTTCACTACATTTCTGCATCAGTTCATGATAATTACCTTTATCCAAAAGTCCTCCCCCCAAAGCATCTCCCATTGCCTAGTGTGGATTTCTCTGGATATGCATATTTTTGCATGCAATTTCCCCCATAAATTTGTGTAAGTTATTTTCACTAACATATACAGTGGTACCTCGGGTTAAGAACTTAATTCATTCCGGAGGTCCGTTCTTAACCTGAAACTGTTCTTAACCTGAAGCACCACTTTAGCTAATGGGGCCCCCCGCTGCCACCGCACAATTTCTGTTCTCATCCTGAAGCAAAGTTCTTAACCCGAGGTAACATTTCTGGGTTAGCCGAGTCTGTAACCTGAAGCGTCTGTAACCTGAGGTACCACTGTATATATATACCTATTTATACACACTTTCCCCCAACGTAATGCACTTTTGGAGATATTTTTCTGTCTGGAGAAGAGCAGTACAAAATTCAAAGAAGTGTGAATTTTGAAGGACCACAGATTCAAAGAACTGTTCAGTTGGAAGGGAATCCCAAGGGTCCTCTAGTCCAACCCCACCCCAACCATAACCCGGCAATGTGGGAACCACAGCTAAAAGAACATCCCTGACAGATGGCCATCGAACAACCTCTGCATAAAAACCTCCACAGAAGAAGGGGCCACCAACAGCTGCATTTTGGCTTGCTTTCTGTTTGAGGAAGTGAAAATGAGAGAGCTTTGCACTGAAATGCTACCCAAACTGATTCTCCAACCTGCTCCAAACCTTACGCAACTCTCATTCAGCTCCAAGTCATGTTTCCAAGTGATGAAATCCTGGTGACCGCTGGGGCCACTCTGGAGGCTGCAGAGAGCAATCTTCAGGCCCCCAGTTTTTATGTTAAGCATTTGTCAGGGAAGAGGGAGGGGCGGCTCCCCGGTGCTTCCTGCATTTGTGCATATCATTAATGTCCAAAGCTGCTCAGTGGCAGAAAAACTCCCAGGGAACATCCCGCATGGATATCAGCACAATGCAAATGTCAGCGCCCATCATGCATTCTGGGAGATTTACAACGGCAACAGCTACCGAGCTCCCAGAGAAGAAAGGAAGGGGAGCCTGCTTGTGTTTTTGGAAACAAGGCGCATTTACGAGACAGCACAATAGTGGCACTTTTTTTTTTTTTTTTTACCGGCAGAACAAATGAAACCGGCATTATTTCCAGAGCTGAATCAATCTTTTGAGGATTGGTTGTAAATTAAAAACCAAATGCACGAGCCATTCTTGCCTCACCAAGTGCTCTGCCTTGATTTCTCCACCGCTGTGGTTAAGAACGGCTTTAGGAAGACAGGGAGAGGAGGAGGAGGGGAGAGAATATCTTAACCAAGGAACCTGGGACCCCCGGCCCTAACTCTTTATGAATCTATTTACTTATTTGATTTGCTATTTCACCTTTCCTCCAAGAAACTCAAGGTGGCGCATCCTTGACATTTTATCCTCTGTGAGGGATTGGCCTCTCTCTGCTTCTCCCAAGGCTTTGTCAACCTGGAGGGGCCCCACCAATTGCAACCACAAAACAACCTTTCTTTGGGAACTGTGCCAGAAGCAGGGGCTTCGGGGACTATTGTGGCACCTGCAACTTGGAGCAACTTGGAGCCTGGATTATTGACATGGACCATGGGAAGTGTAGGCTCAAGAGCCCTCAGGACAACTACATCTCCCACAATCCCCCAGGATTCTGCTCCTAGATGTTTATCTTGGACGTCAGGATGAGGGAGAAGGCTGGAAAATGCATCCCTCTGATCATCTCCCAGTATTTGGAAAGACCGGGTATGGGGAGGACAAGTTTCAAAGCATTGGATTCAAAGGATTATATGCATAAAACTGATGTGAGTGCCCGGGACTCTTCCCCAAGCCAGGAAGCCATTAAAAGCTCACCTCTGGTTCAGAGTTAGGCTCAGTAAAACTTTCCTGACACTGCTGTTTGGAAGTCCAGGACAAAAACTCTCCTGTCCATGTTCAACAGAAGGCGCTCCTGGAATCCTCCTCAGACAAATCTTTCCCTGGAGTTTGGACTTTGTGGTGACTTGGTCTCATTTCTGAAGAGGCAGAAATATTCCAAATTTTGAGCACAGAGAGATATCCATGTTTGTGTGTGTGTTAGCAGTTTCCCACAGCTTGAGCCTTGGCAAAACACTGTGGAAAAGCCATTTGGATGTGATTGTGCATAGGAATCTGCCTTATACTGAGTCAGACCATTGGTCCACCCAGCTCAGTATAGCCGACACTGATTGGCAGCCAATCTCCAGGTTTCCAGGCAGGGGTGGCCTCTCCCAGCCCTATATTGAAATGCTGCTTGGGACTGAACCTGCCTGCAAAGCAGATGCAGTCCCACTGAGCTATGGCCCACATCCCCAAAGGATCATATCATGCTAATTTTTCTATAGTTTTCCAATGTGTAAGAAGACATGAATGGAGCTCTGCAACAAACAGGCAGCTCCCTGGAAGATCACATCAAGGCTGTTTTCTGTGAAGTATTTTAGATGACAGATGAAGAAGTCCAATGTCTCCACCCCCATCGTTCAGCCCGGACACTGAGATCCAGCGCCGAGGGCCTTCTGGCAGTTCCCTCATTGCGAGAAGTGAGGTTACAGGGAACCAGGCAGAGGGCCTTCTCGGTAGTGGCGCCCGCCCTGTGGAACACCCTCCCTTCAGATGTGAAGGAAATAAGCAGCTATCTTCTCTTTAAAAGACATCTGAAGGCAGCCCTGTTTAGGAAAGTTTTTAATATTTGATGCTGTATTGTTTTTAACAGTCGATTGGAAGCCACCCAGAGTGGCTGGGGAAACTCAGCCAGATGGGCAGGGTATAAATAAATTATTATTATTATTATTATTATTATTATTATTATTATTATTACCCCCGGTTCCCTTCCAGCTCTCCAATTCTATTTTTCTAAACATGTGTTTCTATAAATCTATTCTATTTAAATAGGAGTTCAGTCAGTGGCCAGTATGTTTTGCTTTGTGTTTTAATCCGTATCTCTAATTCTCTAATTCACTTATGTTTATTACCAACAAGCTGCCATTTAATCTGCTCCATTTTTACCTGCTGGTGGGTTAGTTGAATAGTACTGGTGTTGCCTACCTTGGATAGCGCTCTCTCTCTCTCTCTCTCTCTCTCTCTCTCTATATATATACACACACACACACACACACACACATATATATATATATATGTGTGTGTGTGTGTGTGTGTGTGTGAGAAAGTCAGGGTAACCAAGAAACCCACAAAGCTAAATAACACAGGGAGGGGAATTACAAGAAGGAACTGAAAGCAAACTGCCTCCTGGCTTAAACCAGAATTCAGAAAGAGTGAAATGCAGGTCAAAGTGGATTGAAGGAACTCAGCTGCAAAAAGGGCAAATTCCATGCTAGGGATCATTAAGAAAAGAGTTGAAAATAAGAAGTGCCAATATCCTAATGCCGTTATACAAATCTATGGTGCCACTGCACTTGGAGCACTGTCTGCAAATCTGGTCGCCTCAACTCAAAAAGGATATTGTAGAGTTCAGAAAAGGGCACCCAAAATGATCAAGGAGATAGAGCAACTCCCTTGTTTGGAAAGGTTGCAGAATATGAAACTTTTTTAGTTTAGAGAAAAGGTGAGTAAGAGGTGACAAGATGTAAGTTTATAACATTTTGGGGAAAGTTTTTTTCTCCCTCTCTCATAGCACTAGAACTCGCAAGCATCCAATGAAGCCAAATGCTGGAAGATTCAGGACAGATAAAAGGAGAAGGAGGGGGTTCAAGTCCCTGTTTTGCTGTCTCGGCAACCTTACTCAGCTCAGAACAAGGGGCAGTTAATAAACGGCATGGTGCCGTTGCTAATAAACAGTGGAGTTTGTTCGTTTTATAGAATTTATATCTCACTGTTGCTCGCTAGCGATCTCAGAACGGGTTGCAAAATGTTTACAGCATGCAAAACAAAGACACGTGTAAGATCATTGACCTGTTTCGCTCACCTGTCGTGCATCTAATCTTCAAGGCTTTGTGGCTAAAATCTCTAGAAGCCTCAGAGAAAAAGAAAACTCTCCATGTTGTGTCTGAAAGTAAAACTTGGCGGTGGTGCCAAGATGACCTTCCCACCCAGCCTCAAATCCCAGACTGCAGTGTGAGTAGTTAACACTATGAATGTTGTATTTTGTACCAGCTGCACTCTCCAGGGGCAGCCCCACAATACAGTGAATTGCAGAAGTCCAGCTGGAAGGTTACGGGGTCACTGTAGGCAGGCTATCACACCTGTTACACTACTGTTGCTTGCTGTTCCCCTCCCTCAACACATCAGCATGGCTATCTGCCATTTCTATCTACAGTGGTACCTCTGGTTACGAACTTAATTCGTTCTGGAGGTCCGTTCTTAACCTGAAACCGTTGTTAACCTGAGGTACCACTTTAGCTAATGGGGCCTCCCGCTGCCGCTGCGTGATTTCTGTTCTCATCCTGAGGTAAAGTTCTTAACCTGAGGTACCACTTTAGCTAATGGGACCTCCCACTGCCGCCGTGCTGTCGCCACACGATTTCTGTTCTCATCCTGAGGTAAAGTTCTTAACGTGAGGTACTATTTCTGGGTTAGCGGAGTCTGTAACCCGAAGTGTTTGTAACCCGAGGTGTTTGTAACCTGAGGTACCACTGTACTCAAAACTCAACGCAGGCAATTGGTTCTGGCCACCTTTATCCAGCCCACCGTGTCACACACAGCCTGCAGTCAGTTTAAAACACACACACACACACACCACTATCTGAAAAGATTTCTGCTAGCAACTTGTGGCTAGCATGCAATCCATCACTTCTCGGCTGTCTGTTTGTTTTGCAAAATAAGCACTTGCCTTTAGGCCTTGAGATATGGTTTGTGTTCAAGCTGCTAGCAGAAGTGGTGGGGGCAGGGAGCGGAGAAATATCTTAGTTTACGTTCAGCTTCTTGTAGCAAAGCTACAAAACAAAAGCACACCACCTGCTCCGGTGACGGAACACAAATCCACCGAATTTGACGCCTGAGCTGGAGCCCTAGCGGTGCTTCATCTTATGCGGGGAGCTGAGTTATATGCCTCTCGCTCTCTTAAAGACTCCGCTCCCTTTCGTTAGCACAGTGCCTGCGTTGGGGCTGAAGGAAGCTTGAGTTATGCCTGCCTGCCGCTCACCTGGCTCTTTGGGCTCCCCGTATAATGAAATTAAGATTCTAGCGATGAGATCCTCTTCCACTCATGCAGGGACCGACATAAATCCCGCACGCGGGCACGTCACGGAAATGTAAATACGCCAACCCTTCCCCGAGTCGCCAATATTAAAACCAATTTGCATTTCAGATGAAAGCCGGGGAGCCTCTATCGCATCTGCAATATTTTAGAGAAAGTTAAAGCCTAAAAGTAACAGACGTGGCAATTTTTATCCAGAGTCGTAGTCAAGGCAGTGACTAATCCCATCAAGGACACATTAATTGGAGCCTGGATGTGTCTTGGCCACGGCACTTAATCCCCACCTCCTTCCAGCAAACACCCAGGGCTGCTTCATCAACACAACGGCGGCCATTCATCGGGGCTGCCACAATGACAGACAGAAGGGGGCCAAAATAAGTGGGGCATCCTGGCAACCTCTGCCTTGGCCAGAGCAGAGGAGCCTGCTCTGGATCTGCTTCCAGATAAGAAGGGCAGGAAGCTGCAACATGTGGCAGATGGCTTTAAATTAAAGAGGATTGGACCAATTTGTGGAGAAAGCTATCAGTAGTCACTAGACATTAATGAGGGTGAAAGAGGAGAGCACAAAATATGGTTTGAAGCTCAACATCAAAAAAACGAAGATCATGGCCACTGGTCCCATCACCTCCTGGCAAATAGAAGGGGAGGAAATGGAGGCAGTGAGAGGTCTTACTTTCTTGGGCTCCATCATCACTGCAGATGGTGACAGCAGCCACGAAATTAAAAGACGCCTGCTTCTTGGGAGAAAAGCAATGACAAACCTAGACAGCATCTTAAAAAGCAGAGACATCACCTTGCCAACAAAGGTCCGTATGGTTAAAGCTATGGTTTTCCCAGTAGTGATGTATGGAAGTGAGAGCTGGGCCATAAAGAAGGCTGATCGCCAAAGAATTGATGCTTTTGAATTATGGTGCTGGAGGAGACTCTTGAGAGTACCATGGACTGCAAGAAGATCCATCCTATCCATTCTGAAGGCAATCAGCTCTGAGTGCTCACTGGAAGGACAGATCCTGAAGCTGAGGCTCCAATACTTTGGCCACCTCATGAGAAGAGAAGACTCCCTGGAAAAGACCCTGAAGTTGGGAAAGATGGAGGGCACAAGGAGACGGGGACGAAAGAGGATGAGATGGTTGGACAGTGTTCTCGAAGCTACCAGCATGAGTTTGACCAAACTGCAGGAGGCAGTGGAAGTCAGGAGTGCCTGGCGTGCTCTGGTCCATGGGGTCACGAAGAGTCGGACACGACTAAATGACTAAACAACAACAGTCATGATGGCTATGCTCTGCTTCCCTGGTCAGAGGCAGCAATGCTTCTGAATACCAGTTGTCAGGAACCACAGGAGGGGAGAGGGTTCTTGAGCCAGGGTCCTGCTTGAGGTGGGGGTTGCCACTGGGGCACCTAGGTGGCCACGGTGAGAAGAGGATGCTAGACTCAGGCAAGTCGAATTTGGCAACTTTCAAACTCCCAAAACGAGCGGTTGCTAAATAGTTGCAACATGCCTTGGGAATTCAAAGACCTGTTGATATCATTTAGCTTTGCTTGGTAAGTGAAACGTGCGTAAAAAAATTGCATAGAAATAATTAAAAATAATTGCCAAGTACTTGTAGCTAGATTATATATTATTCACTTATTGAGTATTACCTGATATTTTCAGAAGGCAAAATTAAAATTCTTTGGTTTTTCCGACAGCAGTCTTCATCAAATGTAGACTCACCAAGCTAAATGTTGTCCAGGCACAAAAAGGATAGATTTTAATTTCTTACATCCAAAGGCATATTTTTAAAACCCCCCTCACTGGAGGAAAAAAATTGCAAAAGATAAGTTTCGCCCCCTAAAATGACATGCCCTAATCTGCTGGGCCATTGACCTGATTCCGCAAGCTCTTCCTATGTTCTCCCTAAGTCCTTTACACATAATTAAACTATACAGTATCCTTTGCTCCCACAAGAGGCTGGGATGGTCACCAACTGGGATGGCTTTCATAGAATCATAGAATCATAGAGTTGGAAGAGACCACAAGGGCCATCGAGTCCAACCCCCTGCCAAGCAGGAAACACCATCAGAGCACTCCTGACATATGGTTGTCAAGCCTCTGCTTAAAGACCTCCAAAGAAGGAGACTCCACCACACTCCTTGGCAGCAAATTCCACTGCCGAACAGCTCTTACTGTCAGGAAGTTCTTCCTAATGTTTAGGTGGAATCTTCTTTCTTGTAGTTTGGATCCATTGCTCCATGTCCGCTTCTCTGGAGCAGCAGAAAACAACCTTTCTCCCTCCTCTATGTGACATCCTTTTATATATTTGAACATGGCTATCATATCACCCCTTAACCTCCTCTTCTCCAGGCTAAACATGCCCAGCTCTCTTAGCCGTTCCTCATAAGGCATCGTTTCCAGGCCTTTGACCATTTTGGTTGCCCTCCTCTGGACACGTTCCAGTTTGTCAGTGTCCTTCTTGAACTGTGGTGCCCAGAACTGGACACAGTACTCCAGGTGAGGTCTGACCAGAGCAGAATACAGTGGCACTATTACTTCCCTTGATCTAGATGCTATACTCCTATTGATGCAGCCCAGAATTGCATTGGCTTTTTTAGCTGCCACGTCACACTGTTGGCTCATGTCAAGTTTGTGGTCAACCAAGACTCCTAGATCCTTTTCACATGTACTGCTCTCAAGCCAGGTGTCCCCCATCTTGTATTTGTGCCTCTCATTTTATTTGCCCAAGTGCAATACTTTACATTTCTCCCTGTTAAAATTCATCTTGTTTGTTTTGGCCCAGTTCTCTAATCTGTCAAGGTCGTTTTGAAGTGTGATCCTGTCCTCTGGGGTGTTAGCCACCCCTCCCAGTTTGGTGTCATCTGCAAATTTGATCAGGATGCCCTTGAGTCCATCATCCAAGTCATTGATAAAGATGTTGAATAAGACCGGGCCCAAGACAGAACCCTGTGGCACCCCACTAGTCACTCTTCTCCAGGATGAAGAGGAACCATTGATGAGCACCCTTTGGGTTT